AATCACCGACTCCGAAGTATCGGAGGTTTGTTCTCCTGTTATAATATCTCTCGATCCTCTGTTTTTGGGCGGCCATTCGGACCAGTGCAGCCTCTCGCTTTTCATCTAGTAGCTCGAGGGCTATAGTCATGGCCTCGCTGTTCGAGTCCTCAGTGGCATGCCCAAACCTGGCACTTGGCTCTCCGACCCGGACCGGTATCAGAGCCTCAGACCCGTATACCAAAGAGAATGGTGTTTCTCCTGTGCTCGACTTTGATGTTGTTCGGTATGCGCATAGCACTTCGGGCAATACCTCTCTCCATTTTCCCTTTGCATTTTCTAACTTCTTTTTCAAATTTTGGATGATGGTCTTGTTTGTGGACTCGGCGTGTCCATTTGCACATGGGTGATAGGGCGTTGACAGGATTCTCTTGATCTTATGATCTTCGAGGAATTTCGTCACCTTGCTGCCTATGAACTGCTTCCCATTGTCACATGTAATCTCGAAAGGGATCCGAATCGGCATATAATGTGATCCCATATGAAGTTGATGACTTCCTTTTCTCTTATCTTCTCGAAGGCCTGTGGTTCCAACCATTTCCAGAAATAGTCAATTATAAACAGAATAAATCTGGCTTTACCTGGTGCTGTTGGTAGGGGGACGACGATGTCTATCCCCCAATTCATGAACGGCCATGGTGATAAGACTGAATGTAGCTGTTCACCGGGTTGGTGGATCATCGGTGCAAACCTTTGGCATTTATCACATCTTCGAAGGAATTCCTTGGTGTCCTTCTCCATGCTGTCCAAATAGTAGCCTGCCCCGATCACCTTTTTAACCAAAGAATCGGTGCCGGAATGGTTTCCACAAGTGCCTTCGTAAATTTCTAGAAGTATGTAATTGGTGTCCCCAGGTCCCAAGCATACAACTAGAGGTCCGACGAAGGTCCTTCTATATAGCGTTCCACTCTCGTCGAGTGAAAATCGAGCTGCTTTGGCTAGGAGGGCCCTCGACTCCTTTGGATCTGTGGGTAGCTTCCCGTTCTTCAAATAGTCAATCTATTTGTTCCTCCAATCCCATGTTAGACTTGTCGAGTTGACATCGGCGTGTCCTTCTTCAATCACCGACTTGGATAGCTGGACAACGGTCCCTGGGAGTATGTCATCTTCTTCGACGGAGGACCCAGGTTCGCGAGCGCATCGGCCTCACTGTTCTGTTCTCGGGGAATATGGACCAGAGTCCATTCTTTGAAGCGATGCAATATGACCTGAAGTTTGTCCAAGTATCTTTGCATCCTGTCTTCTCAGACCTTGAAGCTTCCATTCACTTAGTTAACTACCAGGAGGGAGTCGCATTTTGCTTCGACGATTTCTGCTCCTAGGCTCTTGGCCAACTCGACACCTGCAATCATAGCCTCATACTCGGCCTTGTTGTTAGTGAATTTCGGAGTTTTTATAGATTGCCTAATCATGCCGCTTGTAGGCGGCTTCAGAACAATGCCTAGCCCGGACCCTTTTACGTTCGAGGCTCTGTCGGTGAATAGGGTCCATACCCCCGATGATGTGCCCGCTTCTAGCAAGAGTGCTTTCTCTACCTCGGGCACGAGGGCAGGCGTAAAATCAGCCACGAAGTCCGCCAAAATTTGGGATTTGATAGCCGTCCGAGGTTGATATTCGATATCATACACCCCGAGCTCGATGGCCCATTTGGCCAATCTGCCCGATAATTCAGACTTGTGCAAGATATTTCGAAGAGGGTATGTTGTTAAAACACAAATACGGTGGCATTCAAAACAAGGTTTTAGTTTCCGAGATACACTTATTAATGCAAGAGCTAATTTTTCTAAGTGGGGATATCTGGTTTCTGCATCTCCCAGAGTCCGACTCACATAATAAACAGGGAATTGCGTACCTTGTTCTTCTCGAACCAACACACCACTTACTGCTACTTCGGATACGACCATATATAAGTATAACGTTTCATCCTCTTTCGGGGTGTGGAGCAAAGGCGGGCTCGAGAGATATCGCTTTAACTCTTTTAAAGCGTGCTGGAATTCCGGAGTCCACTCAAAGTTAATTTTCTTTTTGAGCAGGGAGAAGAAATGATGACTCCGATCTGACGATCTTGATATGAACCGGCCTAAGGCCACTATCCGCCCAGCCAGCCGCTGCACGGCCTTCACATTGTTCACCACTGTGATTTCTTCAATGGCTTTGATTTTGTTGTGGTTGATCTCGATGCCCCTATTTGACACCATGAACCCAAAAAATTTGCCCGATCCTACCCCGAAGGCACATTTCTCGGGGTTGAGCTTCATGTTGTAACTTCTGAGGATATCGAATGTTTCCTGCAAATAAGTCAAGTGGTCCTCTGCGCGTAGGGACTTAACTAGCATGTCATCAATGTAAACTTACATAGATTGGCCTTTCTGATGTTCGAACATCTTATTAACTAAGTGCTGGTATGTAGCTCCTGCGTTTTTTAGCCCGAAGGGCATTACATTATAACAGTATATACCATACTTTGTGATGAACGAAGTCTTTTCCCTGTCCTCTGGGTTCATTTGAATTTGATTATACCCGGAGTAGGCGTTGAGAAAAGTGAAGATCTCGTGGCCGGCCGTGGCATCGATCAAGCGATCGATGTTGGGCAATGGGAATGAGTCTTTGGGGCATGCTTTATTCAAGTGTTTATAATCTACGCACATTCTTAATTTATTTCCTATTTTGGGAATCACTACCACATTAGCCAACCATTCGGGGTATTTTACCTCCCTAATCGACCCTATTTTGAGGAGTTTTGTTACCTCGTCTTTGATGAATGCATGTTTTAACTCGGATTGAGGCCTCCACTTTTGCTTCACTGGTTTGAACATGGGATCAACACTTAGTCGATGGGTAGTTATTTCCGGCAGGATCCCTGTCATGTCTAAATGGGACCAAGCGAAGCAATCAATGTTGTTAATAAGATATTTAATGAGTTTTTTCCTGAGTTCGGGGGTCAATCCCATTCCTAGGTATACCTTTCGATCTGGAAGTTGCTCGATCAGGACGGCTTGCTCGAGTTCTTCGACCGTTGATTTTGTTGCGTCCGACTCCTTGGGGGCAACAAAGGTTTGAGGGGTAATAAAGTCTTCTTCGTCATCCTCATTCGAGTGTTCACAAACCACCTGTTCCTTGGGGATTAACCTCTTTCCTGACTCGTCCTGAACGGGGAGAGTCAATGCTGGTGCCATGTCGTTTACCGCGAACATCTCCTTAGTTGCATGTTGTTCTCCGTACACTATTTTTATATCGTCTTTTGTTGGGAATTTCATCATTCAGTGAAGAGTTGATGGTACCGCCCTCATGTTGTGTATCCACGGTCTTCCAAGTAAGGCGTTGTATCCTATGTCACCTTCGATGATATGAAACCTGGTGTCCTGAACTGTGCCGGACACGGTGACTGAGAGGATCATTTCCCCCTTTGTTGTCTCGCTCGCCATGTTAAATCCATGGAGGATTCGAGAGGTGGGCGCAATTTGGTCGAGCAGTCCGAGCTGCTCCACCACCTTCGATCTTATTACGTTGGCCGAGCTACCTGGATCCACGAGCACACGTTTGATTTGAACATTATTCTAAAGGAAAGAGATTACCAGCGTATCATCATGTGGTTGGGACAAGGCCTCGATGTCTTCTTCTCTAAATATAAGGGCGTCCTCGGGTATACATCTCCGAGTTTGTCTTTCCGCTGCGATGGACGCTCTGGCCCGTTTGAACATGGGTCCCTGTGGAACGTCGGCTCCTCCGATGATCATGAGAGTGATGTGTTGAGGCTCTTCTGGTCCGTTCTTTACATGAAGCGCAACACCGTTATTTTCGCGTGCATTTGCTGAGTTAGACATGTTGCCCTGAAATCGAGATTCTTGGACAAGAAAAAGTGTGAAGGATAACTCGTGTTTTCAGAAAACTAGCACCAAAAAATACTATTATTTTTAGCCCCACGGTGGGCGCCAAGCTATTTACCGTGAAAATGGTAACAACAATTATATTTGATTTTGTGGTTCTAATAATACGTGATTTATCTTGATACTAGTTGTTGGGCAATAGATGCTAAATGTGAGTAAAGAAAATAAGAAATGTAAACCAATAAGGTCACAAGGCTGGGCCTCGAGCTAGCTGGAGCACGGCCTCGAGGTCTAGACGGGCTAATAGCTACGAACGATCGATGAAGAATCAACGATAATGAAGGCCTTAAAGATGGCCTTTTGCGGTTAATGATGATCAATAAATGAAGAACAATAATGAACAATGAAAGAATAAGTAATAAATGTGAAGAACAATAGGGTTAGCAAAGAGAGCAGAGAATGTTGTGTTATATTCAATATGTTGTGTAATAATGCGGATCCACTTACAAAATGACCAGGGTCCCCTTTATATAGGAGGGGGAGCGGGAATCTTTGTATAGTACACGTCTAATCATGATAGGGAGATGCTATTAGTACCGCTGTATAATGGCTCAGTAAGGATTTATACTACCCTTTGAAGGCTTTGTCAGTCCTCATCACGTGTCTTCAGGAGCCTTCCGCCTTTTCATAATGGCCATCGTCTTACATGCTGCCTCGAGGTGCATCACGGTGAGTCTTCGATATGCCCTGCCGAGGCGAGTGCTTCGAGGATGAGCCTTGGGCTGTGCTTCGATCCCGTCGGGGCCGGTCTTGGACACGCCATCGAAGCCTTAAAATCGGGCCTCGCTGATTTTAACTGTATACATGAATGCTGGGGGAATTATAACTTCAATGCAATGGGTCAGAAGAACCCCAGTTTTTCATGGAGTTCACCTGGGGGCACTGCAAATTCATGGCAACAAAATAACCCTAGATTTCAGGGACAAGGAGCTCCTGGTTTTGTGAATTAGTTGAGGCCGCATTTTCAGCCTCAACATCCCAATCAACATGGGCTAGAAGATCTGATGAAGTCCTTTATTGTCAAGACGGATGAGAGGCTAGATGCTCATGGTGCCTCTATCAAACATTTAACACATGGTTGCGAAAGTTGGAAAAGCATGTGGGGAAAATTTCACTGTATTGTCTGAGCGAATCCTAGGTACTTTGCCAGTTGACACTGAGAGAAATCCCAAAGAAATAGTGAATGCTGTGACCTTGAGAAGCGGGCAGCAATTGAAAGATCCCACTCCAATCCAAAAAGAGGTTGTCCCTGAAAAGAAAGTGGGGAGGAGTTGAAAATTGAAGTTGATAAAAAGAAGAAAGTCAAGAAGGGAGCTGAGGAAAAAAAGGAGGAGGAAACTTCAAGAAGGGAGGAACCTGAAGAGAGCAAGCACATGCCTGCTCTACCTTTTCCCCAAAAGCTGTATAGAGAAAAGCTGGACAAGCAGTTTGAGAGATTTCCAGATATGCTGAGACAGGTTAATGTAAATTTTCCATTCATAGAAGTTCTCTCACAAAAAGCCAGTTTATGCCAAATTCTTGAAGGAGATCCTTACAAAGAAGAGGAAGATAGAAGAGACCTCAGTAGTCAAGCTTACAGAGCATTGCAGCGCAATCTTGCAAAACAAACTCCCACAAAAGTGTGGAGATCCAGGGAGTTTTACTATACCTTGCTCTTTAGGCACTCTTAACTTTGACAAATATTTATGTAATTCTAGTGCCTCAATTAATTTAATGCCTTTTTCGATTTACAGGAAGCTGGAGAATGAGATCGGAGAGATAAGGTCAGCACCAATATCCTTCCAGCTGGCCGGCCAAACAATTATAATACCCAAGGGGATAGTTGAAGATGTCTTAGTTCGGGTAGATAAGTTCGTACTTCCTATGGATTTTATAGTAGTGAAGATGGAGGAGAATAAAGAGATCCCCCTCATCCTAGGAAGACCATTCTTAGCAACGAGTAGAGCAATATTGGATATACATGATAGAAAACTCATGCTTAGAGTGGGTGAGGGGACTGTGACTTTCGAGATGAATGTAGAGATGAGGGTGAAAAAGGAGAAGCCAGCTGCAAGTGTTGAGTGAAAGGTGAAGAGTTCAAGAGATGAGGCTCAGTGATTGAGAAAGAAATGTGTGGGGTGTACCCCAAGAAGGCTGAAAAGAAGCTGTGTGCGTGGATGTGTGCACTAGTTCGGGCATGTGGAATGGAGCCCTACTATAATATTGTGTTTTAGTCGCTTATTGCATTCTAATTTACTGCACTTTGAATTTGAGCTTTAATCGTTAGTATTTTGAACTAATTGTGTGTTTTATGCTTTGTACGAGTGGTTCCGAGCTATGTAGGTGTTATGGAATGAACTCAAGCTATTTTGGAGCTTTGAAGTCTGAGTAAAAGCCCAAGGATTAAGTTGGGATCACGTTCGGGGATCAACGGACAACAGTTCACTTAACGGGAGAAACAAAGAATCGAGCAGAAAGCTACCCAGGTGTGCGAGTATGCACTAGGCGCGCACTGGGCGCGCAAGTGAGGCAGAATATTGTCCAAAGTGCGTGGCCTATGCGCGAGCATGCTCCCAGGTGTGCGGCCGTGCACGTCCAACTCCGGAATGTGTCCTATTTCGCCGGACCCTACTTGATATATATACATGGAAAAATGGTATTTTCTAGACTTTTGACACATCTAAGACCTAAGGAGGCTAAGGAGAAGTGGGAGAAGCAGGAACACAAGTATTTCATCATTCAATCCTAACTCAAGACAAGGGTTTGGATTATTTTATGTTTTTCTTTAACTTAAACTTATTTGTGATGAATTACTCCATATCTATGGAGTAGTTCTCTTTAGGGTTTGATGGATTTGGTGTATTGATATTTGTTTGTGGATTATAACTCTAGTTTATGTATTGAATAGTTTTGGATGTTTTCATTGTTGCATCTATGTTCACTAGTTTATGTAATCGAGAGAGGCATAACTTGTGATATTTTTTTCTTTATATTTTGTTGGGTAAATTCATTAATTCATTTTAGTAATAGAAAGAAGCTAGTTGAATTATTGATTAACCTCGTTAGGAGAATAATCGAAAGAGGTTGTCTTAAAGATCAATCCACTACGAATTCGTGCATATCTTCACCGAGCTTAATTTAGTTCATATTGTGAGGTTGAAACTCAATCGAGAAAGGATTTTCTGCTGAATGTGTGAACATATAATTGAGTGAATTCGAGAGACTCACTTAACATTAGAAGTGAATTATCTAGAGTTAGATCGCAAACATTTGTCTTGCACCTGTCTTATAAACCCTATTTTCTCCCAATTGGTAACTTCTCTGCTCATTACTTGCGTCGGTTGTCATTAGCCAATAATTTAGACTCTTAGTTATAGCATTAAACACAAAACTCTAAATTGTTGATCATCTTAGACATCAATCTAGCTGCAAACTATGATAATACTATTTAAATCCAATCCCTGTGGATACGATATTATAATTTACTATATTCGATTAGCTAGCATGTTTTAGTGTGTGTTTTGCGCTCGTTATTAGTATGATTATGTTGGTTTAAATGTCAATCTTGTTGAGGAAATTGGTAACTAGAAAAGAAATGGCTATAAAGCACTTGAAAGTTGTCCACAGTGATATTATCTTGTGTTAGGCTATTTCGGGTAACTTTGATATTGAGTACTAGGTTGCAAATCCTTTAAAAGGTATTGGTTATTATACTGGATATATTACTAAGTTCAAGATTGAATGATAATGGGGTTCTAAGGTGCTAAAGGGATTCAATCCGAGCTTGCCGCTCGTCATGATATGTTGATAATTTGTTAATGAAATATTTTATACCCTATTGTTGATGTTGTTGTTATTGTACTGCTCTGGTTGTTGTTGTTGGTATATGGTATTGGAGGTGGACCTTGTTACAGAGGAGATGCTGCCCAAATTTACATAAATGAGCTACTAGTTTAAGTTGCAGACTTAGCCTTTACTCAGCACTGATTTTGAATCTCCTTATGCTATGGTAGATTGAGTTGAGTTGTTTGAAGAATTGCTTGGAAGGTATTAAGGACTCATCGGAGTTAAGGTATATTAAGGCAATCCCTTCTTTCCTTTTGGCATGATCCATATGATAAAAACGAAATGAGCAAACGTGCAACTTTGATAAATGACTCTATTCATAAAAGTACTAGGGGTGCCTATGTTCTTGATTACCCATGTGTCTTATTATTATATCGTTTGGGTCTCAGAAAATATGTAAGTTGATAAAGTTTATCCGAAGGCGTAATGATCTTATGACATTCCAAGAGATCTTATTGATTTACTTTATTATGCATTGCATTCATTTATACATGTATATTGACCTATGACTAGATGGGGTTATATACACGTATATTATATGTATATAGGGTATGGGGAAAGGTTACGAAGTTATATATGCACCACCACCTGATCAACTGGTATACGTTGATGATTTTGCCCACAGAGGCCGAGATGATATGATGGGATGCCCTCAGAGGCTTGATAATGTTATGTATGCATATACCTATGCATGGTATGACATCTATACACATATGCATGATATTATAAATGTTTCATGATTCATAGAGTTGTTCGGATTTACATGTGGAAAGTCGTTTACTCCATATTTCTTTCATGTATTTTATATACTGCTTTTCATGCCTTACATACTCGGTACGTTATCGGTACTGACTTACCTTTTTCCTGGAGATGTTATGTTTCATGCCCGCAGGTCCCGATAGACAGGATGACAATCTTCTTAAAAGGCTATCAGCTCAGCGAAAGGTGTTGGCGGACTCCACTTGCTCTGGAGGGTCCCATTTGGTCTGTATGCTTTGGACATGTAATGATTGGTATGGCGAGGCCTTGTCCCGACCTTTATGACGTTTATGTACTCTTAGAGGCTTGTAGACAGAGGTCATGTATATGGATACTTGTATGGCCTTTTCGGCCTATGGGTTGAGTGTACAAATGATCATGTCGGCCTTATAGGCCCGTATGTCACATGTATAAGTTTGTATATCATGTTGGGTCATCGTATGTCGAGTATTCCCTTATGTTTTATTTTGGTTATCTCATGAAGGTCGTTTTGGCCCACTTACCAATGATGGTATGATAAGAAAGATATATTATGTTGGTACTTGGTTGAGTAAGGCACTGGGTGCCCGTCGCGGCCCTACGGTTTGGGTCATGACAACCTCGCCAGCCAAAACCCCTTCTCCGCGATCATGAGACCCAGCTCCGCGATTGCAAAGAACTGCAATCTTGCCAGCAATCAGTTGTTCTAAAGCACACGAAAATAATCCAAAACCACACTAAATAGCACAAGCTCCTTAGGACCCTGTTCAATATTCCAACAAGTCTATTTACTTCCAAAAAACTTGTTCCAAGGCTAGAAACATCAAAAACAACAACAAAACCAAGAATCGAAGATCAAATCCATCTCTTAACTTTCAAACATTCCAACTTGCTGAATGCGTCCATATCACACTTAGACATTCTAGATTACAACAAGCTTTGCACACAAGTTCTATTCAACAAAGTGTACATATCCAAAAGTCTCGGAACACCAACCAGATCCTGATAACATCAAAGTCAACATCAGTCAAACCTATGAACTCTCCAGTTCTTCAAATTGCTAACTTTTAACAATTAGAGTCAAAATCTTCTAGGAACATCCAAAACCAAATCCGAACATATGCTCATGTCCAAAATCACTATACGAACCTATTGGAACCATCCAATCCCGCCTAAGGTCAATTACTTAAAAGTCAAACCTTGATCCACTATTACAACTTAAGCTTCCTAAATAGAACTAAGTGTTCCAAATCAATCCCAAACCTTCCAGAAACCAAACCAACCATCCTTTCAAGTCACATAACATCACAAAAATATACGTGAAGTATCAATTAGGAGAATAATGTAATAATAGACAAAGCGATCGACCGGTTCGTTATACTAACAAATTAAGATTTTTGATAACACGGTTACACATTTCAACACTTATATAACCCCAAACTGACCTCGCATTATAATATGGGATTTTCCTATGGTGAGCTTCAAAGGGAATCCTCTCTCGAGTTCAGCCGCTAGCTCTGCGTGGACTATTACACTAAATAATGCTAATAAGCCTATAGGAAGGGTTATATCTTGTCGTGTAATATATAGCAAGTTGCGGTATAGTCCCAATTTCACTAAATATGGTATTTCAACACCAAAATGTTCTCTAGAGTTTTCATGAGGTGGAAAGAGATATTTATTAATATATGAGATTGCTTCAAAATATGTGCTTTATTCATCCGAGATCACTTCAAAGTTCTCTTTGCATAAGTTGATTCATGGACAAATACTCATTACTCAAATACTCAGTTATATTATGATAAATTTTTTTATTTTCAAATATTTCATTTCAATTTCCTTTTTCAAATAATCCATGCCCTTTAGAATCTCTTCAAGAGTTCTAATAGTATTCGAGTCATCATTATTACATAATAATTATGACAAATCCAGACTCATACCCTTTTGTGAAGATGTCAAAACCCAAAATTCCACCAAAGGCCGTGATGGAGCCTAACCTGCTTACTAGGAAAGCCAACATACAACAACAACCATAAAATCAAATTATTAAGCCGTTAACTATTTTGTGACATAAATAACAATGCAGAAACCAATGTCAATTCAATATCATAAGTAATATTCAACAACAAGGTCTAAATATGACCAAAACTATTTGACAACGCCCAAAACTCAGTGTTACTACATCACGAGCATCTAGTGAGAGTAATGAGTTTCAAATGAACAATAATGTCTGTCCAGAAAAGAAATAGATAGATAATAATGAATAAGTTGGAAGAGGGACTCCATGTGTTGCAGATTGGATCAAGCACAACAACTCACAATAATGTCTCCAATAATATCCTTCTCAGCCCAAAAGGTTTTGTTAATACCAGTCTCAGAACCTGCACAAAATATGAAGAAGTTTAGTATGAGTATAAAACCATGGTACTCAGTAAGTATCAAGTCTAGCCTTGAAGAATTAGTGACAAGGGGTTGACATTGACACATACTAACAATACAAT